ACTTTGAATGAATAGTATTTAATATTACCAATCGAATTCATTTGGATGTTACAAAGAACTACTTCGATCTCCGTGTAATATTGCTTGCAACAATCGTATGTTTTAGTCGTGTAATACTATGTAATATTACGTAGTGATGGGCTTAAGGAAGAAGCAACCAGGGGTCGTAATGGGCTGGGCTAAGCCCAGCCCAGCCCAGCCCATGGGCCGAAATTTTTTTAATAGAAAACCATGGGCTGGGCTTGTTCCAACCGAGCCCAGCCCAACCCAGCCCATGGGCCGAAATTTTTCTAACAGAAAGTCATAAGCTGGAATGGGTCGTCCGATTTTTTGATGGGTGCCCGTGGACCATATTTTAAATAAAAAATTAAAGTTTTCTAAAGATGTCACGTATTATCACTGAAATTGTTTTTTTGATAAATCGAATTGAATACTTGTATTTGCTACAATATGGCTATTACATAATCAAGTGTTTTACTTTTTTGATATTTGTCACTTGTAATATACACTGCGTATTTATGACGCTGCTATTGATATCTTCATTTCATTTTATATTAACTATGGGCGTGGGCAACCGACTTGGTTCCCCAAGATACAGAATAGGAAATGGTATTATTCCAAGAAGGAGTATATAATGAATTTTATACCAAATGAAAGCTCGTCAAAAATGGGATTTATTGGTACTAAATAGTAAGGATTTTATAAACTTATGATATCGAACTTAAGAAATGCTGAGAAACTTTATACATTAAAAAATGTTAAAAAACTCACTTTTTCTATTTGGAAGAGAAACATTAGATTTTCCATTAAAATTAGATTTTTTTCATTATTTTACTACCTCAAATGTTTTCAAATACACTTATTCGATTCAATTTTCTACGCTACATCTATTGAATACATTTCGAAACATGTGAGTTAGTGAAAGAATGAAAAAAGCTAATTTTATGGGAAAATCTAGTGTTTTTCTTTCGATATAGAAAATGTGACTTTTTTAACATTTTTTAATGCATAAAGTTTCTCAAAATTTCTTAAGTTTAATATTATAAGTTTATAAAATCCTTACTATTCAGTACCAATAAATCCCATTTTTGACGAGCTTTCATTTGGTATAAAATTCATTATATACTCCTTCTTGGAATAATACCATTTCCTATTCTGTATCTTGGGGTACCAAGTCGGTTACTCACGCTCCTATGTGTAAGTGTAAAGAAATTAATGTTTCTTTGTATATATTTTTTTGGTATTTTTATTGAGATACCTTCTTTGTTATTATTAATTTGAAAAATAAGTTTTGAAATTTACTTTATGAAATAAAGGAATAGCAAGGTCTATAATACATTTTTTAATATGACAAACTAAACTATCTATGCGAACAATTTTAATAACATATGTGGCCCATGGGTACCCATGGGCTGGGCCGATTTTTTGGGGAAAAACCATGGGTGGGCCGGGTTTAAGTTCGATAGCCCATGGGTTGACTTTTATAGGCCCAGCCCAGCCCATTACGACCCCTGGAAGCAACTGATCTAAATCAGAGGAATCCTTCTATTGAGTCAAAATTGAATCAAAGTTAATAGTTTTATTCACTTAATATTTGAGTATATTCAAAATATTTGACTAGGGTGTGGATGCGAGTCTTTACTATTACACTCGCACTCACCCACACCCAAATAGAAGCTGAGACTAGAAAAGACACCAGCACTAACAAATAATATTTTCGCTACAAAAAAACGATGATGTCACAAATTCAAAAGCACCGAAATATACAAAACCACCAATCGATATCCACGTAGTACGAGGAACAACACCACTATATAAACTTAATATAAGAAAAAGGTATTTTCTTTTATATTTCATTAGTTTATTTGAAGACAACTTACGCTGGAAAACCTTCAGTTTTGAGAATGTTTATAATTATTCGTAAGAAATGAGAACTGGCATCAGGATGAGAATGCTAAGAAAATAAAGATAAAATAAAAATATTCAATTATTCTATTGAATAATTACATGTGCAAGCATTATTCGAGTTTTAGCGACATCTAAAAAAATCAAGCTCAATTTCTTTAAAGAAAAACGACGTATTTCAATCAATCTACCTAATGGAGTTGTAATTGATGCAGCTAATCCACCGGCTAAAGATCCACATAAAGCGCCTTGCCATGGAGATACTGGATAATCTTGTTTTTTGCTTTGATATTCCTACTTTTAGTTTTTTGCAATAAAAACTAACAAAAGAACAAATTCTAAAACAAACTTTAAAAAATTCCCAGAGTGGGTATTGAATCATTGAAAATGGAATTTCCCTTGCTAAAGTTGCAAAATATCCTCTATAAAGACCTGATAAACCCTTCGAAAAAAAACAAATCATTTAATTATAATTGATGTGAAAAAGAAAACAATTCCTACTTCATTGCGAAGACATGATCGAGCAATTGTTGACAAACGTAAATTTCGATTAACTTGTGCTCGTTGTTTAATAACTTCAGTGGGAACACGCACAAGACATGCACACTAAATAGATAATATTTCGAAACTATTTCCTTCAATTATTTTGTGTTTTTCTTTCTATACAGTTTCTCCAAAAGCAGCAGCTATCATAGGAACTTGACTGGAATATGATAAATTTAAAGTTTGTTTTGTTAAATTATACGAAAGAAAAAATAATGCTGACGATGGACCACTACCGATCATTACAGAACCAACACCGGAATATAAAGATGAAAATAAAAGTCTCCCTTGAAAATTGGTTTTTTGTTGAAGTCGAGTTTTTATTGTATCGATCGGGTATAATAATAAATCAACTGTACATCCCGCAAGCAGTCCAGTCTTAAAGAACATTTTAATATAAAATAGATAATTTACTTTCTTTTTTAAATTAAATGAACATACTATTAATGAACGTTCGATTGTTTGAGATAGGTCAATTTCTGTCATATTGAAGCTTTTAAATAACGAATAAAAATTTTTGTAATATAAATGGCAGATATGTGAGAAATTTCACTACATGATCAGATTCATCTAGCGTATTGTGCAAACTAATTACAGAATGTATTATATGAATATATGCAAATTGTTTGCGCAACTTCATTAATATATGTTGTAAGGATCAGACTATAATGAGAAGTGACGTAGTATCTATGAGGTAATGTTGAATCACCTTGTTTGGTTTGCTCAAATAACCAATCATGTATTATTATTACATATAGAATGAGGCTAATAATTAATCGATAATTGGCAGTTAAATGTAGAAATTAGAAAATAAGAGAAAGGTTGTATGATCAATTGAAAAAAAATTACTGTCAAAAAATATAATTTTCTTGGTAATCTTGTTAATGAGAGACTATTGACTTTTAGCGACATCGTTATCGTTAGTTACTTTATATATATTTTATTTTGATCAAGAGTAAGTTAGCTTCTCAAAACTTCGTAACATCAATTTTAATCAAAGAGTCCACTTCTCAACGAGAAACAATTCTAATCTATGCCTTAAAAATGTATGTATAAGACCGTTAATTTCTACTCCTCAACTGTCACCAACTTATTTTCTATCACGCACACAATTTAATATTAATTTGGTTGAAAGCACTGTTTGATAAGTAAACAAGTGCATGCAAAATTTTGAGCTTCTTCAAAACACTACTAATATCTAAGGCATTGTTGTTCTCTCCAAATATTCACAAGATATTTTGTATGTGATAATTGATGTCATCCTTATAAGGGGCTGACGAAAGAGATATTCGTTAGGTTAGTAGATGAACACATGAATTTTACAATCCAAGGCATGATGATGATGTTCGTAAGTTTAGTTTTTATTCTGACTTTGTCTACACAACAACTCTATGCCAACATACCCATTATTGTTCATACACAATATGGTGATGTATAACGTTATCAAACTGATTTGGCTCGTGTCTTCTATGGTATTCCATTTGTACAACCATTTATTGGAATATTCAGGTAATCTTAGACAAAATCTTGGAGCTTGTTTTCGTATATTATAACTCTATTTTTGTATAGATGGCAACCACCACCCTAGAGAATGTACTGAGTTAAGGGTACCCGAAAAAGTACCCTGTTACCAGTATGTCACAGGAACTTTTGGGTACCCAAGTACTTACAGATACTTTGAGGTACCTAAGTGGTACTCTGGCAAGTACCCTGCTACAAAATGTGCAGTAAATGGGTACTTGAAGGTACTGATCAGATACTCAAATGGGTACTGTTGTATAGCATTTCTTGGTACTCTGTTACCATAATTTCACTATGTTCAGGATCGAACCTGATCTTTGACTATTCTTTATTTGTGTCTTTCTCAAAGCATTTTTTATTCCAATTTTTTTTATTTTCTTCAATTTAATTTTTTCAATTCTGAAAATTTAGTAGGGCACAATGCCGGGATCTGACCCGACTTGTGTTAGTCGGATATCCATCAGACCACTTCATAGTAATCTGCACTTAATCGTAGATTAAGATCGGCATGTTCTCGACCAAAAACTAGTCAAGAAATAATCTAGAAAAAATTATTATGAAAATAGATTATTTTCTTATATTTTTCCCAATTGCTTATATGGAGCCGCATGTGAAAAACAAAACGGTGAATGAACAGTCGTCGTACAGAACGGAACAAATTTAGGGTACCCTGTCGAGCTTTCTTCAATAAAATTATTGATGTGGGTACCTATACAAGTACTTGTTCAGTGAGCATACTTTTATGGGAACCAAACGCAGTACCTACATCAGTATAATTACTGAGTATTTTCGAAGTACCCATGTTGGGTACCCTGCTATAGCTTTCACAGTACATGGGTACCCTGAACTCAGTACTTTCTCTAGGGCAGTACCTGTTGCTAAATGGCATCCAAAAGTGATCAATGTCACATAACCGCCCCCTGCTTGTTTTCAACCAGCAAGTCCAATAACATCCATTCACACTCCAAATACTGTAAGCTTTTGATGTAAACGAAAAATTTTCCTCTAACAACTTGATACATGCACGATAGATGTCAGAAGACTGCCTTTATTTGAAAATATTTACACCATTGTCCAGCAATTCATTATCTCCAAATCTTCTACCAGTGATGATCCATATTCATGGTGGTGATTTTCAGTTTGGTGATGCTTCACAATCAATCTATGAATCTGAACATTTTGTTAATACAACCAATATAATAATTGTATTAGTCCAATATCGATTAAGTAAGTATCGATTATCTTCAAGTGTCTATATATGAACATGATAATCATAGGTGTACTTGGCTTCTTGACAACTGGAAATGTTCCTAACGATCTTAAGGGTAACTATGAAATACTCGATCAAGTTCTTGCTATTGCATGGATCAAAGATAATATTGATGCATTTGGAGGAGATCTAAACGATGTTTGAACAAGTAAATATTCAATGTATCATTACTATACTATTCTTTCTTCAGATTACATTATTTGATCAAAGTGCTGGTGCTCAATCTACTGCTCTACACTATGTGACGAGTGAAATGCAACCATTCTTCCAGCGAGCTATCATCCAAAGTGCACCAATGACAATTCCATTTAGGTAAAATAATTCGATCAATACGATACGAATGATTTTGTTTGATCTATTCTAGAACATATTCTGAATATGTTATACCCGGTGCTCTCCTTGCTGGACAGCATCACTGTATTATTGGTGATGTTGCATGTTTTTTAACTTGTTCCATGAACGCAATTATTGCTGCTCAAAATGCTGTAAATGGTATGTTGACTTCGTTAGATGTTCTGCTCTTTTTCGAACCGTGGTAACATATGATTAATAATGTGGTTGTTCATGGTCAACTCTTGGACAAGGGTGCACAATACATCATTTCCACTGAAACCATTGATAATTGGTACAGTCACTGAAGAATCTCGAGAGGGTATGGGTGTGGGTGTGGGCGTGGGTGTGGGTGTGGGCGTGGGTGTGGGTGTGGGTGTGGGTGAGTGTGTGGGTGTGGGTGTGTGGATGTGTGGGTGTGGGTGTGTGGGTGTGGGTGGGTGTGGGTGGGTGTGGGTGGGTGTGGGTGTTGGTGTGGGTGTGCGGGGTGTGGAGTGTGGGGTGTGGGTGTGTGTGGTGTGGGGTGTGGGCGTGAGTGGATGTGGATGTTGGTAGTTTGAAGTTGCCGGTTTTCGTGCGGCGGAAGA